GCGGGCATGACTCGTCTCTGTCGCAATCTGAATCTGCAATTTGCCATTTGCAATTGTCAATCGAATTGATATACCTTAGAGGTAATATTAGAATGCCAAACGTGTGGCAATATAGCTATAGCTTGAGCAAATCACAAAATCGCCCTCGGTCAAGCGATCGCGCCTCGATTTGTTTATCGTGCTTTGAGTGCAGTCCACGCCCCGCCGAAAAAATTAAAAAAAAAAAAAAAACTCGTTTTCAAAACATGCAAATTAAAGAGCGGAACTCGTAGCTCTAAAGGCTGTGACTGAAAGTCAGCTCATATAAGTATTCATGAGAAACACGTACGCAAAGAGCTTTCAAATGCCGTCTCTCAAATATCCAATCGCCGTATAGGCCGAGAAGGTGGCATGACAGCTTTGAGTCTCTCGCGCTCTCTCAGTGTGTCGCTGGCCATATCTCGATCTCGATGACGAAGTCGGGTTGTACGCGGTTAGAAATCTCAGCAGTTTCATTTGAGTCGCGCTAATAACGAAACGTATCTAATAGATTCGCAACGACAACGGCCGACAACAACAACAACAACAACGATAATTACAAAACAACAATAGGATTGGAATAGAACGGGTCATCGAGCAAGCATTAAGAATTTATTTAATAAAGCAAAAGAAAACTTTTTGCAGCGAAAACAAATCAAGAAACAAGAAACGAAAATACGAATTTTAGATAAAAAAAAAAAAGAAAATAATAATAATATTATATTTTAGAGTGTGAAGAAAATGTCTTCAATATAAAATGGCCAAGTGAATCGAATTACCGAATAGCTAAAGGTCTCCTTCAAAATACGAGCGAATCACAACGACCTTGAAAAAGCGGCAACAAAAACAAAAACAAAGACTAGTCATTGAGTCACAGTTGAAAACAGTGCAAAATAACCGAAAAAGTATTATTTATTAAATATAAAAAAACAAAAAAAAAAAACAGAAATTACAAAAACAAATCAACGAATTTATTAAGTAGATATATATTATAAATATATTTATGTATATAACTGAGAAATTGTGGGCGTATCTCTCGCTCTCGCTCTGTGCGTGTATTGTTTATTTATCAATATAAATTTTAATTAAGTACAACTCAAATATACGCCCAAGTTTTAGTCAGTGTTATGCATTATCAGACACAATGTTCGCACCACGAAACTCGTCGCCAGTTGCCGCCTATGGCAAGGAGGAGATAGCTGCCTATGAGGTAAATTTGGCAATAGCTATATCTAAATTTCTAAAACTTTATTCCATGTGGTTAACAGCAACAACAACAAAAAAACAATAAAGTTCGTAATGAGTTTTTGTGGTTTGGTTCCGTTTGTCTATCGAACCAGTCCATGTATGTATGTGTGTGTGTGTGTGTGTGTGGGCCAGCCAAAAGCCATTCAAATAAACTAGTGAAAAATTGCAAATATTTTTGTGTGCTGCTGCTGCCGCTAGCAATTATGGGCAATTAGTTGTTACTCATTGCTGATAGCTAATTTACTAAATGCTGCATCTCGGCAACTTCTAAGCCGAAACGGAATGTGGAGACAATGTCAAGGAGACTCTGACTATCATTTGGAGCTCTTTACGGAGAGACAGCGAAAGGCTGCCAAAAAGTGGCATAAGGCATTTCGCTCACGTCCATTTGCTATATACACAGATATAGATACATATATGTATGTCTATATATATGTAAAGAGCTATGCGCTGTTTGTTGATGATTTATGCGTTCGTTTGTGCATGCTAGTCCGAGCAGCAACAACATCGCCGGCCAACGAGCGCAAATTAGAAATGTGAAAAACGTGTCCACCGAGAACGTTGTGAGGAAAAGCAAAGGCAAAAAAAAAAAAGAGTTATAGTTGGGTAAGTTTGCGCGAGTCGATTAGTGACACACTACGACATACCTCGTACTCAGCGATTTGCATATACATATGTATGTATGTGAAGACGAGTCTTCTAGCTACACATTCTCTTTCTCTCACTGCTCTGTGAAGAAATTAGTTCAGGAATTTCTTCGTATCGAATTTCATAGGTGATTGCACTCAGTTAGGTAATATATGTAACCCATATACATATGAACATATAGACATAAATATTTAGAATTCCTTATGTATTCCCAATACAGCTCAAAGTTTTGCTACCTTTTTGCTAATTGCCTAACAAATTATTAGTTTCTGTCTCAGCTTATTGGCGCTAATTGCTTTACAGAATTTCAATTATATATATATGTGTATGTATATATGTTGAATATTGTTTATAAATTTTACAATATTCTTTTTTTCCTTTTATCAATTGTCCATACTTCTTTTATTTCAGTTATCCAAAAACTTGCCAATTTCATGTTTCTTTTATTTTGTATAAATTTAGATGATTTTGTAGATGATAAAAATGAATGAATTAAGTGTGGCTTATTAAAGTTGTTTCCAAAAGGGAATTTAATTATGGAAAAAATTTAATAATGCTGAATTCTAGCCAATTTCGATTTAATTTACAAAATAATTCCATCTGAATAATATTCTTTTTTTGAGCGTTGTCAGCTTTAATTAAAACATGAATTATTTTACGTTATCTTGCTAAGCAAACATTTCAAGAACTCTTGACTAGCTACACACACACATGTACACACACAAACGTACACACACACAGACAGACAGACAGCTATTAATTGGTCGAAATTGCTGACACCTGTCATGCAAATATTTGAGATCGTTGTCACGGAATCGAAAACGCAGCTTTTGATGTGATCTGATGTGATGTGATGTTGGGGCTGCGGCGGTGTGGGCAGCCACTCAGAAATGTGTCACCGGCCCACATGGCGTCGCATTCCGTCTAAGCCAAGCCATCAGAATTTTTGGCACATTTCAACAAGCGCCAAATCTGCGTTTAGCCTCAGCCGCCGTCTCAATTGAAGGAATTTTAGTGCATTCAACTTGCCAAGCGAATCGGGCAAAGACAACTCTGAAGCGCTTAAGCGGCTTCGATTTGTCATTGCCATGTTCGGGACCCGAGGGGCAGCAGCCTTGCATTTGAAAAATGGGTAACATGAAGACAATAGACATCTTCCGCTTGCCGAAAACAAAAATTAAGTAAATACATTTGTTTTTTTGTTGTTTGCCGACGAGAGGTGGGACAAGTAAGAGCTGCGAATATGAGGCAGCTTGAAGTTGTATTTGAAGAGAGTAATATATCAATGAGTATAAAGAGTATAAGAAAAAGACCGCATAACACTCTTACTTAACCCCCTATGCAAATGTTGTTATCTTACTCAATGAGCTAGTCAGCAAAGCTAATAAATGTAAATTAACAACTCTTTATCTTTATGATGCGACAACTGTAACGAATCGACACTAAATTCGATCTTTAATTTGATGTTGAAGGCGGCGTGGGGCAGCTTTTAGGCTTGACCTTAATGAGTTTCTTAAA